TTTTTGGTACCAGGGATTGAACTTGTGACCTTGCTCTTGCCAGGCAGGCGGTGGAACCACTGAGCTAAATCCCTGGCACTGTCTTTGTTTTTGCAGTGCTGGGAATCGAACCTAAGCCCTTGCACATGCCAAGCACATGCTCTACTACTGGGCCGTGCCCCAGTCCCTATCTCTTTAGACTTATTTATTCCTGCCTGCCTTCCTGTTTTCCTTTGTCCCTTCCCAAAATACCAACTCTTGTCTGCAGCCCCACATGAGCCCCCAGCAGAGTTGTGTGTTGCAGCTCCCGCTTAGGCAGGCCAGCAAGTTCCTGCTGGCCCGGTTCCTGGCAGGGGGCACACGTGCAGAGAGGCAGATGCTGCTAGGAGGAGATAGTGTTCTGAGACAGCTGCTTGCGAACGCTCCCCCAGGTAGGCCCAGTGTAGAGGAGTGGGGCCCTGGCACCATGGAGGACAGGCGAGCCTTCCAGGCAAGGTGACTGGGGAGCTGGGGGTGGTCTGCTCCACGGGAGGCCAAGACCCTCTGTATGGCACTGTGCAGTCCCTTCCTGCTTCTGCCATAGTTCACCTCCAGAAGCAGCCTTTACTCTTTGGAGAGCTCCTTGCGGGGGGGGTGGGCGGGGGGTCACACATGTGCCTGGTTTGTCATCCCAGGAGTTGACCAGATGCTACTTGTTCCCAGAAGAAGACTAGTTTCAGTCTTCAGGAGGAACCTGGCCCAAATGGCGGTGGCAGCAGAAGCAGGGCATTGGGCCCAGTTCTGCTCCAGGTCACATAAGAGTCCCCAAGCTGCTTCGCTCAGAGGCCCTCCCTGCCTGTAGGCAAGAGAAAGTTTAGATTCTGCATGAAACCTGGGCAGAGTGGGACTACACCTTGGATGGTCCCTGGGGGTGGCCAGGTGTGGTTCAGGCAGCCTGGGAGCAGAGTAGGAGCAGTAGATGCTGAAATACAGGTCCCAAGGCTGTGCCCTCTGCAACTGCTCTGTCCCCACTTTGCATGCTATCCTTGCCTCACACACCCATCCCGACTCTTTCCAGGGGGATCGGCTCAGGGTTTCTGACCTTGGCTTAGTGTGCTGTGAGGTCTTTCTCCTTGGCTCTAACTGCAAAGGTCACTAATTCAGCCTGGACCCACCGAGCATGGGGGCTGGTTCTCTGGTCTCAGCTTAGGCAGGGGGTGGAGGACAGCCCTGGTGATGGCCAAGGGCCAGAGGTGGCACGGGAGCAGAGGAGACAGGGCCCCTCAGCACCCTGGTGCCCAAGACACTCTTATGCAGCCTCCCTGCTACGCACCCCCCCCCCCCCCCCCCGGCCGCCATGAGATTGACTAATAGCATCCTTCTGCTCTGTGTCTGGCTGTTCCGCTCATCCCTCCAGGCTGTGGCAGCTGCAGCCCAAGCAGGCCTGCTCCGGCAGCAGGAGGAGCTAGACAGGAAAGCTGCGGAGCTGGAGCGCAAGGAGCGGGAGCTGCAGAGCACAGCAGCCAGCTTACATGGTAAGGGCGGCTGCAGAGCAAGGGCCTCCAAGCTGGCCCTGGGCTGCTTCCTCTCACTCCAGCTGCAGAGCTTCGTGGAGCTCTGGGACCTCTAGAAGGGGCTGGGCCTGGGGAGACCTGCTGTGTGTCCCTGATGGATGTACAGTAGATCATTTCTGCCCTCTTCCCAGAGCTGAAGTTATTTGATTCTTTAATAAGGTAAGGGCACTGGTCCCCACAATTCCTTGCTCATGATGATGACCCCGGTTGCCCTGCCTATCAGCTGGTTGCTTATAAAAATAATCCCTTGGGCCATTTGGCTTTGTATTTCCCAGTGCTTCTGGGCTCCATCATCTTGGAGGGAGCCTGTGGGTGTCTCTTTGAGTCCCATTTACCTCTTCCATCTCACTCCATGTCCCATGACGACCTCAGCTTCACTTGCTGGAACTTCTGGTTTGCCCATAAACTGAGCCATTCTGCTGCTGCATTTTTGTTTGTTTTCCTTGTGACAGAATCCTGTTATGTAGTGTAGTCTGCCCTTGAAATCACTACGTAGGGCCAGGGATGTAGATCAGTGGTGCCATGCCTGCCTGGCAAGCACAAGGTCCTGAGTTTGATTCCCAGTACTTCAAAAAAAAAAAAAGAGAGAGAAAAGAAAAGAAATCAGTATGTAGCCCAGGCTGGCCTTAAACTCACAGTGATCCTCTTGCCTCAGCCTCCCTTGTGCTGGGATGGCAGGCATGCACCATGGTCCCTGGCTTTGATTCTGCTCCTGAGGTTGGCCCCTCACCCCATTGCCTCTTCCTTCTTCCCACACAGTGAGAGAGAACAACTGGCCACCCCTGCCCACGTGGTGCCCTCTCAAGCCCTGCTTCTATCAGGATTTCTCAACCGAGATCCCTGCTGACTACCAACGCATCTGCAAGATGCTCTACTATCTCTGGATGTGTGAGTCCCGAGCCTGCCCTCCCTTGGGGTTCAGGGATATAGCGGGCCGTTGCCAGGCTCTGTCTTTGCTTGGGGTGCTCCTCCCTGTGGTGAGACTTCTGTAGATCCCAGCCATCCCTGTGCCTGGCCTGGCATTGGGTGGCCCCCTGAGTCCCTGCAGAACCCCCAACACTGAGCGCCTGCCTTAGGGGAGGCTCCCTGCCCATAGGCACCTGGGCTCTGGGGGTGAGGAAGAAGGCTATTCCCGTCATCTTGCCATTGCAGCCCATCAGGGAAGAGCTGTTCATTGCCTGAGGATAGAACCTGAGCCTGCACCTCACCATGCTACCCTCAGAGACCTCCCTGTCCTGTCAGCCCTTGGAAATGTAGTTTGGTCCCTGGTTTTTTGTTTTTGTTTTTTTTGTTTTTGGTACTGGGGATCAAACTCGGGACCTTGAGCTTTTGAGGCGAACCACTGAGCTAAATCCCTGGCCCTGGTCCCTGGTTTTGAGGACCCGGACACTCAGGATTTGGGAGCAGGCCTCATCTCCCCCCTCTTGAGTGGTCTGTCCTGTGGCAGAGCCCTGGGCCACCTGGGTTCACGCAGCTCTGTCTCCTCCCCTTCCCCTCCCAGTGCACTCAGTGACTCTGTTTCTGAACCTGCTCGCATGCCTGGCCTGGTTCACGGTTGACACCACCAAGGGAGTGGACTTTGGGCTCTCAATCCTGTGGTTTGTGATCTTCACACCCTGTGCCTTCCTCTGCTGGTACCGACCCATCTATAAGGCTTTCCGGTGAGCAGGGCTGGGGAGAATGGGCTGCCTGCAGAGGCTTTGAATGTGCTCTAGAGAGTCAGATGGGGGCTCCCCATGCCCAGTGATCCTGGGCACCTGCAGTGGCTCCTGGCTGTGTACCTCCCAGGGCCCTGGGTTTGGAATTGAGCCTTCCAGTTGATGCTGTTGGGTGATATATGCACACCCATGTTTATAGTGGCACAGTTTATAGTAGCTAAATCTTGGAAATAGCCCAAATGCCCATCAGTTGATGAATGGATAAAGCAGATGTGCTTTTTTTATACAGTGGAGCACTTTGCCCTAAAGAAGGATGAGCTTTGGACATTGATAGCTAAATGGATGAGCCTTGAGACCATACTCTTTTTTTTGGTACCAGGGATTGAACTCAGGCCCTTGCACTTGCAAGGCAGGCAGTAGCATCACTGAGCTAAATCCCCAGCCCGAGACTATACTCTTAAGTGAAATAAATTGGACACACATGTTTAAATACTGCATTGTTTCTCTGGTGTGAGAAGCCAAAAGTGGAAATAAGGACTAAAATATATAATAGATATTGGGAAATGGGAAGAAAATGTTCACATGGGAAGGGGAACAAGGGAGGAGGGAGGGAGAAAGGAAGGAGCGACAAGAAAAAAAAGAGAAAATAGGGCCGGAGATTTAGCTCAGTAGTTTCGCCGCCTGCTACTCAAGCGCAAGGACCTGAGTTCGATCCGTGGTACCGAAAAAAAGAGAAAATAGAAGGAAAAAATGGAAACAAACTTTTTGTACTTAGGCAGGGGAGGGGATGTAAGGGGAAGGAGAGAATGAGATAAGGTTTAATAACAATTAATAAAAAAAACCAATTGATGCTATTGGTGCTGGAAGCTCCAAGGGTCCCCTGGCAGAGGGGGTGTGCCCTGGCTGGACCCTCCCACAGACCCTCAGCAGCACCTGAATCCTCACTGTCTCTGGTCCTCAGGACAGAGATGGAGGTACTCGGCCCTTACAGATTGTTATCTGATGCCCCCATTCCCCAGAAACCTAGGCTTTCACCTGGGTCTACAGTCTTTTTTTTTTTGTAGTACTGTGGATTCAACCCAGAGCCTTCACATTCACATTGAGCTACATCTCCAGCCTCCCTTTTCTTTCTTTTTTTAAATTTTTTTTTTATTTTGAGACAAGGTCTCACTGTGTAGTTCAGACTGGCTTTGAACTCACTATGTTGCCCAGGCTGGCTTCAAACTTGCAGCAATCCTCCTGCCTCTGCCTCCCAAGTGCTGGGATCAGAAGTGTGTGCCATCACACCCAGCCTCTTCTTTTTTTAAAGAATTAAAAAATTTTGAGACAAGCTCTCCCTGTCATTGAGTTGCCCAGGTTGGGCTCAAACTTGTGCTCCTCCTTCCCCAGCTTCCCAGAGTGCTGTGATTATAGGCATGTGCCACTAAGCCCAGTTCCTACAGTTTTTTGTTTTTGTTTTTGTTTTTTGGTACTGAGGATCAAATTCGGGTCCTTGTGCTTGCACAGCAGGCGGTGGAACCACTGAGCTAAATCCCCGGCCCTCCTACAGTTTTATTAATAGAGATTTATCCCTTAGGGTGAGTTTCTTGCCTGCAACCATGCCACAAGAGGGAGTGTTGGGCTCTCTGTAGTGTCCTTAAGGGCTGGTGTGGTGGTGCATGCCTGTAACCCAGCACTAAGGAGGCTGAGGCAGGAGGATCACTGCAAGTTGAGGCCAGGCTGAGCTACATAGCAAGATGCTGTCTCAAAAAAAAAAAAAAATCATGTATGTTGTCCTTGGAGGAACAATTTTTGTGGGGTTTTTTGTTCTTGTTGTACGGGGATGGAACTCAGGACCTTGTGCTTGTGAGGCAGCTGCAGCACCACTGAGCTAAATCCCCAGCCCAAATAAGGAAGTGTGGGAGAAGAGAACACAAGATTTCTCAACAGGCCAGTTTTGTTGATTTTTTTTTTTTCTGGTACCAGGGATTAAACTCAGGACTTTGCACTTGACCCGGCAGGGATGTCACCACTAAGCTACATCCCCAGCCCTTTTGTTATTGTTTTGAAGCAGGATCTCACTATATAGTTCAGGCTGGCCTTGAATTCACTATGTAGCCCAGGCTGACCTCAAACTTGAGGCGATCCTCCTGTCTCTGCCTCCTGAATGCTAGAATTATGGATGTGCACCACCTCACCTGGCCCTGGGGGAGCAGTTTTATGAGCTCTTTGGGAAAGAGGTCAAGTCCGTACCCCTTAAATTGGGCGGTGGTGAAAGCAACCCTTTGATTATGGTAGTGGGTGTTCCCGTGTCGGTATTGTGTGTCTGTGTCCTTACAGACTGTGACTGTCCCTGGTGCCCTGTGTACTTGTCCCTCCTGCCTCCTGGCTTTTAGGAAGGAGAGAGACCACACCCAGGAAGAAATGCTGAGCGACATGGCCAAGCCCTCTCATGACTTATTTCTCCATCTCTCCACAGGTCTGACAATTCTTTCAGCTTCTTCGTGTTCTTCTTTGTATTTTTCTGTCAAATAGGGGTCTACTTCATCCAGCTGATTGGCTTGCCGAACCTGGGGACCAGGTGAGACCTGCAGTGTCACAGGGAATTGTTGCTTTGGGATGGAGGCTTCAGCCTTCTGTGCAGCACTTCTGTCCTGGAGGGGGTGGGTGGGTCCACTTGGATCTGCCTTGGGCCACTTTCCACAATGAAATAGGATCTCACTGTGCTGCCCAGGCTGGTCTCAAACTCACAGGCTCAAGTGATCCTATCCTCCTGCCTCAGCCTTCTGAGTAGCTGGAACAGTCTCAACCTACCATGCCCAGCTCCTTTTCAGTTCTTTACAGGTCGCCACTTCCTGTGATCCCTTGCCCTCCACTCACCAGGATATGAGGGTGAGCCTGGCTGGAATCTTGAGGGCTTTGTCCTGCACTGACCACAGCCTCTCCTAGAGGCTGTGGCTGCTCCAGATTAGGGTTAGGTTTAGGGTTAGTTCGAAGCATTCTTGCAAGAGGCCATCCCAGCCTCCTGGGAAATGGCTTCTCACTGTCTTCCTTGAGCTCTCAGCTGTCTCGAATTTCCTGGCTTCCTCAGCACTCAGCCCAGAATTAGTCTCTGAAAGAAAAGCTGCTGGCTGATCTTTTCCTTTGCACCAGTGCTCAGGGAGCCTTGCAGAAAGTTCAGCCTGGGCCCTGGCTGAGAGCCTGGAGGGGTGACACTATTTTGGTCCCCTCCCTTCTGGAACCATCTTGTCCAGAGTGTGAGGAAAGGGCTGATCCCTGCCTCCGAGCTGTGGGTGCTGCCCTCCTACCACCTGCCACACCCAGGGACTGTTCATTCAACTCCATAGCCGTTTCTCATCTCACCCCACATGAGGTTCTGATAGGAAGGCTGTGACGAATGCTCACTGTTCACACCCAACTAAGAATCGCCCGGGCCTGGGCCCTGGCCCTCATTGCCCTGTCTGGGTCCACCTAGATCAGCTCTTGAGGCTCAGCCCCCTGCACCCACTCTTTCTTGCTTTCTTTTTTGGCGGAGAGAGTAGGTTGTTTTTGTTTTTTGAGACAGGATCTCACTCTGTAGTTCAGGCTGGTCTTGAACACACTGTGTAGCCCAGGCTGGTCTCAGATTCACAGCAATACTCCTGCCTCAGCCTCCCAAGTGCTGGGATTACAGGTGGTTGGCCACCATGCCCTGCTGACACTGGATCCTTTCCTCCTTTGTGCTGTCCTGAGCCTGGCCATTGTGAGCATTTGTAACCAAGTTTCTAGGGCCAGAGATTTAGCTCAGTCGTTTCACTGCCTGCTGCACAAGCGGGAGGACCCAAGTTCAATCCTCGGTATCAAAAAAAAAGTTTCTGTTGGATTGTCCTGTGTGTGTGTGTGTGTGTGTGTGTGCGTGCGCACGCGCGCGCATGATGCTGGGGGTTGAACCCAGGGGGTCACACAGTCTACCATTGAGCTACAGCCCTGCCCTCAGGTTTCTGTACACCTATTTTCACTTCCTTTGGGACCTTCCAAGAGTAGCATCACTGTGTTACATACGAATTCTGAGTGGAACTTGCTGAGCAGCCTCCATGGTTATGCTTCTTTTTTTTTGAGAGAGGGTCTTACTGTGTAGTTCAGACTATCCTTGAGCTCACTATGTAGCCTAGGCTGGCTTCAAACTCGTGGTGATTTTCCTGGCTCAGCCTTCTGAGTGCTGAGCTTACAGGTGTGTGCCACCACTCCTGGCTATCTACACTTCTTCAGAGTGGCTGACCCATTTTGCACTGCCACTGAACGGTGTGTGAGGGTTCGTTTCTTCATATCCTTGATGACGGGTTTAAAAGATCATCAAGGCTGGTGTGTTGGCACATGCCTGTAATCCCAGCACTCAGGAAGCTGAGGCAGGAGGCTTGCCGTCAGTTTGAGGCCAGCCTGGACTATATAGTAAGACTTGTCTTTAAATAAATAAGAAAGATTGTCATCATCACCCTAAAGATTCACAGTATTTTATTGTAGTTTTGATTTGCATTTCCTGAATGACATGATTTTGAGCCCCCTTTATGTGCTTGTTGACTATGTTTTCTTTGGAGAAATGTCTATTCCAAGCTGGGTATGATGATGCACATTTTTAATCCCAGCACTCGTGAGGCTGAGGCAGAAGGATTGCCGCCAGTTCAAGGCCAGCCTGAACTACATAGTGAGGGCTTGTCTCAAAACAAAAGAAAACTGTCTATTCCAGCCCTTTGCTAATTTATTGAGTTGTCTTTTTGTTGTTGAATTATATGAGGGTTGTTTTTTTTTTTGTCTCTTTTTGTATGAGTTCTTTACATATTTTAGATATTAGATTCTAAGCATTATGTCATAAAGCCCCCAACTCCTCCATCTTTTTTTTTTTTTTGCCCTACTGGGGATTCAACCCAGGACCTTTGCACTGAGCCAGGTCCCCATCCCTTTATTTATTTATTTTTGTTTATTTATATTTGTTGTTTTTTGAGACAGGATCTCGCTATGTAGTTCAGGCTGACCTTGAACTCACTGTATAGTTCAGGCTGTTACCGAACTTGAAGCAGCCTTTCTGCCTCAGCCTCCCAAGTGCTAGGATTACAAGTGTGCACCACCACATCCAGCTGTCGTTTTTTATTTTGAGACAGATTCTCCCTAAGTTGTTAAGTTACCTAGGCTGAGCTCAAACATGAGATCCTCCTCCCTCAGCCTGCCACAGTGCTAAGATTACAGGTGTGTGCCACCAGACTCAACTTCAGTCTTTGAATATTGTCTTTTTATGCACAGAAACATGCTAAGCATGAGCTCTACCACTAAGCCCAGCCCAGAGTCCAGGAGCTTTTAGGGTTAGTTTAGGGTTTTAATCCCGATCAAATGTAGTTTATCTGTCTTTTTTTTTCTTGTGCTTTTGATGTCACATCTAGTAAACCACTGCCAAATCTAAGGTCATGAGGACCCAAGTCTTGTTTTCTTCTAAGTGTGTTATGGTTTGTTTGTTTTTTTTTGAGACAGGGTCTTACTCTTATGGAGATCCTCCTGCCTCAGCCTCCCCCACACTCATGTTTAGATCTTTGGGCAATTTTGATTAATTTTTATATATAGGCCCAGTAAGGATCTTTGTACCAGTATCATTTGTTGAAGAGACACTTCTTTCTCCTTTGGTTTTATCACCCTTGTCAAGAATAAATTGCAGGGCTGGGGATTTAGCTCAGCAGTGCCCAAACTTGCCTTGCAAGTGCAAGGTCCTGAGTTCAATTTCTGGTACCAAAAAAAACCCAAACAAACCTAAAAAAGGAATAAATTGCTAGGTATGTGGGTTGATTCCTGGGCTCTCAATTCTTTTACGTTGATCTGTCTGTCTCCATGCCAGGAAGCATGAGGCTGTTCCATTTGACAGACAGGGACACTGGGGACCTGTGCTGCAGGGCAGTGCCCAGGTGGTGGCCGGGACACACCAGCCGCTGGGAGAAGAGCCCTCATGAGGACTCTGGGGCTCGCTCCCACTTAGTGCCTTCCGCCCCCTTCCCTTTGTAGTGGTTGGATTGCAGCCCTGTCCACAATCAAGTCCGAGTCCTTGGCTGTGTCCATCATCATGATGGTGGTGGCTGGTTTCTTCTCTCTATGTGCTGGGCTGTCGCTGTTCCTCTTACAGCGGGTGAGTAGGGTTAGGCCTCGATTCTGCCTGCACCTTTGTCCAAGGCTGGCTGGGCAGGTGGGGTCAGTTCCTGGTGGTCCCCTGGGGGTGTGACCTGGGTGGCCAGGTTCTAGCGCTCCTCACCCATCTCTCCCCAGGTGCACTCTTTCTACCGCCGGACAGGAGCCAGCTTCCAGCAGGCCCAGGAAGAGTTTTCCCAGGGTATCTTCAGCAGCAGGACCTTCCGAAGTGCTGCCTCCTCCGCTGCCCAGGGAGCCTTCCAGGGCAACTAGCCTGGCTCCAGCCTCTGTCCAGCCTCTTCTGCACCTGCCCTGAGCTGCACTTTCCATGGTGCCTTATTCGATGGGGATGCCCAGCACAGACCTGGTGGGGGTCCTGTCTTGGCTCTTCCTCCTTCCTCAGCAACCAGCTGTCCCTTCCACTGAGGGAAGGGGAGGAAGGGATAGGGATTCTGTTTTTACACATGACAAAAGAAAAATAAGAAAGATGTCTTTCCTTGCCTGGTGGTGGTTGGTAGGATCCTTTTGTCTCCGGAAGCAGTGGGCCTGAAGCTGTCTTCCCCATACACACACGCATGCGTGTGCACACACACCCACTGTCGAACACACACAGGGATGGGAACATGGTCTAGCCCACCACAGCTGGCGTTCCTGCACAGGTCCCAGGACCCCACCAAGCCTGTGGCCTTCATAGTCCCACTCTCCTGCCCAAACTGGCCTAAGCTTCCCAAGGGCCCCCTTTTGGTGAGCTGCAGTTGGGGTGGGAGGGTGGGCAGTTCAGATCCCCGAATTACTCTAGGTCTCTGGGCTCCTCTGGCCCGGCCATCCCAGACTCATGTTCCTCACAAATAGATTCATGGCCCTCAAGGCCCTGGGCACCCTCTTGGTGTGGGTATCATCTGTGCCCTCTGGGGCCCTTGCTGAGCCCTTCTGACTTTCTGAATGTTCAGTGGCTGGGATTTAGGGATAGGGAGGGATAGAAGATGCTGATCTCAGTTGTCTTGTCCAGTGGCTAGGAGGAGGGTCTGGCTGTCCTGGTGTGGTTTGCTTGACCTGTTTCAACTTCCTTACCTAAGGGACAGCTACCATTTGCCTTAGCTGTACTTCTGCCCCCTCCCCCGTGGCCCTTCAGCAATATCCAGCTTATGACACTTGGGGTGCAGAAGGAGCATCCTTCCAAGGGTTCCAGGCTACTCTCCAGGTCCTCCCTCACCTGGAGCAGAGTCTAAGACACCTCCACCTGCCCTGGGGAGTTCCTTAACAGGTGTGTGATTGTGATGGTGTGCCTGGAGTCCACCTTCCCGAACTTGCTGAGTGGAGGTGGGCTGTGGCATGCCTCACCATGCTGGCAGGTCTGCCTCAGCTCACTCAGGCCTGATGCCACCAAATGACAAGGACAGCCACCAGGGGTTTGTAAATTGCTCTCTAGTATTTTTTCCCTTCATGTACAAATGTATATGTTATGACTCCATTTTTGTGCTTAAATAAAAATGACATTTTCAGCCGTGGTCCTGATGTCTGGTGGGCAGTAGAGGACAGGGAGGGCCATCAGATGGGTGCCCAGGGGCACCTAGGATAGGGAGGTAGATAATTGACATACACCTTGGCTGGTCGGTGACGGCGTCAAGTTCCAACAACGAGGGCATGAGCTTCAGACTAGGTGACAGGGAGGCAAAGGGTCTCCCAGAGGCATTTTTTTTGTCTCATGCTTTACTTTTAGAGCTCCTGGTGTTGGGTGCAGCACCACCTGCAGCTCTCCTGGAACCTCCACTCCAGCACCCGCACTTGCTCCCCTGGATCCCCTGCCCTGCCTGGCACGTGGGCGACCCCAGCCACCCGGAGCAGGAGTCCCGGGTGACCAAGTCTGCCACCCTCTCAGCTCCAGGGCCTCACAAATCGGCCTCACTAGGCGGTGGAGGGCGGGGCGGGCGGGGGCGGGGCTGGAGTCTGGCCTGGGGCGGAGTCTCCCAGCACTTCCGGCCGGGCCTCCTGAACCCCTCCAAGCCACCCGCGCGTCGTCCGACCCACACCGGAACTGGGAAGCACCTGCCCCGAGCAGGGATGGCGGGTCCCGGCTGGGGTCCCCCGCGGCTGGATGGCTTCGTCCTCACCGAGCGCCTGGGCAGCGGCACGTACGCCACGGTGTACAAGGCCTACGCCAAGGTGGGTGCGTTCGTAGGAGCCCCGGAGAATCTGGGACCCTAGACGCCAGTGGTAGCTGACTATTGGGAAACTGAAATCGCCCGCTGAGCTGGGAAGAGTCCGAGCGGGCTCTGCGGGGGACCAGTTAGGAGGCGGTGGGCGGAGACCTGAGCTGCAGGCTTGGCGGGCACCTGGGATGCAGCGCAGGTGCCAAAGCTGGGGACCCCAGCCTGGAGTAAGGCCAGGGTTCCAGAATCACATACCTAACTGACAGCTTTGGAAGGCCAGGTGGGGAAGGTAAGGGAGGGAGCAGACGGACCCGGAGCCCTTCCAGCCAAGCCTGGCCTTGGCCCCCTCCAGGAAGACCTTCCCCCAGATCTTCTGTCCCCACAGAAGGACACCCGCGAGGTGGTAGCCATAAAGTGTGTGACCAAGAAAAGTCTGAACAAGGCGTCGGTGGAAAACCTCCTGACGGAAATCGAAATCCTTAAGGGCATCCGGCACCCCCACATTGTGCAGCTGAAAGACTTCCAGGTGCCAGCCTGGGGCAGGGCTCCTCCAGAGGGCTGGAGAAGGGACACTCTTCTTCAGGCTGCTCGTCTCTCCCTAACCACAGTGGGACAGTGACAATATCTACCTCATCATGGAGTTCTGTGCAGGAGGTGACTTGTCTCGCTTCATCCACACTCGAAGGATTCTGCCTGAGAAGGTGGCTCGAGTCTTCATGCAGCAGTTGGGTAAAAGCCTCTCTCCCCAGCCTGACTCCCCCTCCCAAGTTTGCTGCTCTTCCCCCAGCCCACCCAGTCCCTAAGATTTGAGCCCTGGCATTTTGTGCCCCACATATCCCTACTTGGCTTCAGGATGCTATGGGAGAGATGAGAGGAGGTCCACTGTAGGGTGTTCAGGCTTCCACAGTGGAACATAACATAAAGATCCTGTAGAACATTCCATAGCCCAGAAGGTGGAACTCAAGTGCTTTGGCAGGGAAAAGCACAAGATCCTTATGGGCGAGGGCATCACAGGAGGCTTATGGGAGGAGGGGACACCTGTGAAGGGTGCAGAGGAGAGGAAGGCTGGCACTTAGTGGATGGCAAACACTTAGTGGGTGGTAAAGCATTCAGTGGAGCAACCAGGTAGGAAGTGGGGCTGTGCATGGTCAGAGAGGCTGGTGGAAGCCTGAGGGGGAGGGTCCACAGAGAGGGGCTACTCTGACGTCCTTCCTCATGGGTCCCATTGGCCAGCTAGTGCCCTGCAATTCCTGCATGAGCGGAACATCTCTCACCTGGATCTGAAACCACAGAACATTCTGCTGAGCTCCTTGGAGAAGCCCCACCTGAAACTGGCAGGTCTGAATCCAGAACAGGAGAGGCGAGATTTTAGGGTGGATGAGGAGAGGCCTCCTCCCTCGGCAGCCCTGGTTTTTGGGGACCCCCCTGTTGAGTCACCAGACAGGGACAGGCTAGGTCATCAAGGTTGAGCCCATTGCCAGTCCACAGGACCTCAGGTCACCCCACTCAAGTCCAGTGGTGTAATGGGTGGAGCTGGGGCTCAATCTGGGATCAGAGTTGGGACTCAGTGTGTGTTCAGACTTGGGCCATGTGGAGCCCTGCCCTGCCCTGCCCTGCAGCCATATGGAAACAGTGCCATTGAGTGACCAGCATTCAGGAACCAGTCTGTGACCAAGGACCAGAACATCTGTCACCAGGATTGGGGCTGAGAGGGTGACTCAGTCTGGGGCAGCCTAGGAGGGTGTGGGTGGTTGTGGCCCCTGATGAGCTTTGGAAAAAAGAGGACTTGAGCTTGAGGCTGGACAGGATGGAATAGTCTAAGCTGCAGGACAGTGAGGGGCTGAAGTACTTATCCCTGCAGCTGGTATGGAAGGTGTCCCAGAGGCAGGGTAGGCAGGTGGGATTTCCACCCCAGAGGGCAAAGGAGGAGGGCATTACAGGCTGGTGATGTGCCCAGGCTGGGCCCTAGATTGAATCCTGGTGGGTGGAGAGGAGCCCTCCTTGGGGAGCCTGGGGGGAGGCTTTGTGTCAGGAGCCCAAGCTGCTAGGTGTGAGCCCTGCCACCTTCCTCCTGTTGCCTGCCTGCAGACTTTGGCTTTGCACAGCACATGTCTCCATGCGATGAGAAGCATGTGCTCCGTGGCTCCCCCCTCTACATGGCCCCTGAGATGGTGTGTCAGCGGCAGTATGACGCCCGTGTGGACCTCTGGTCTGTGGGGGTCATCCTGTATGGTGAGACCTCTGTCCCTTGGTCCCCATCCCAATGGGCACACTGTGTACTGGACCAAGGCCTCACTGGGGTTGAAGGAGAACTCAGACTCCTGCCCCATGGCCCTGCCCTGAGGGGTTTCAGGCCCCCTCCCTTGGAGCAAGCTAGGCCAGGCTCAACCCTTCCAGCCTCCACTCTGCCTTCTTTCCTTAGAAGCCCTCTTCGGCCAGCCCCCTTTTGCCTCCAGGTCGTTCTTGGAGCTGGAGGAGAAGATCCGGAGCAACAGGGTGATTGAGGTGGGAGAGCTTCGGCCCAGGGAGGAGCATCAGTGACTCCTGGGGGTGGAGGGGTCAGGGCCCGAGGTTTCAGACCCCATTCCCACCTGTGCAGCACCAGGAAGGGGCTACAGCAGCATTGGCGGGGCTTGGCCATCTATGCCCCATCATCCCGACCCACTTTGTTCCTCCTGGATCTCAGATGCTCCACCTGTCAAACATTCCCCTGGGGTTGCCGATGTCCATCCCCGCCTCCTCCCCTACTGCAGCTCCCTCCTCGGCCCCCGATGTCCCGAGACTGCCGGGACCTGCTGCATCAACTCCTAGAGCGGGACCCCGCCCATCGAATCTCCTTCCAGGACTTCTTTGCCCACCCATGGGTGGACCTGGAGCACATGCCCAGTGGAGAGAGCCTGACACGAGCGGTTAGCAGGCTGATGACGACGGGGTCAGGTGGGCAGGAATGGAGTGGGGTCCAATCTGTAACCAATCTCGACCCCTGTGTGCCTGTCCCACAGACGGCCCTGGTGGTGCAGGCTGTACAGAAGGACCAAGAGGGGGACACCAAGGCTGCCTTGACACTCTACTGCAAGGCGCTGGACTTCTTCGTGCCTGCCCTACACTGTGAGTCCTGGGCTGGGCCTCGCCCCTGGGTGCAGCTGGGTGGGGCAGGGCCTGATGTAGCTGCAGCAACGAATTCCAGAGGAAATACCCCACCGGGACAAGAGGCAGAGGTCACCTCCTGAACTTGATATCTGGGGGTTTCTAGACAGCTAATTTTGGGCAGGGGACCCCCCCAGACTCCTCACATGAACCCTACCTTGTGCAGATGAAGTGGATGCCCAGCGGAAGGAGGCAATTAAGGCAAAGGTAGGTGAAACCCCGCCCCCAAGCAGAAGTGGATGGCAAAAGGGGAAGGCCTGGGTACCCCAGCTCTTTCAGGGCTGGAGCTGTCCTTCCTATAGCGTAGGGTGAGGTGGGTCAGGCCAGGCACATCTGGCCCCTGTTTTGGTCACAGCTTGGGGTACTGGCTTGACCCAGAGGAGAGCTTGGAATCAGGCACTGGCAGGGACGCAGGGTGGGCAGCCCTCACACCCGCCCTCCTGCAGGTGAGGCAGTATGTGTCCCGCGCTGAGGAGCTCAAGGCCATCGTGGCATCCTCCAATCAGGCCCTACTGCAGCAGGGGACCTCTGCCAGGGACCTGCTCAGAGGTGGGCCCCAGTCCTGGCTGACCCGCACAAACCTCCCTCCTCCCAAGGCGGGCTCGTTGGGGTGGTCTCCCTGTGACACAGAAATGGGCTGCTCCCTCATCCCAACCTTTGCCCCTCACCCTAGAGATGGCCCGGGACAAACCACGCCTCCTTGCTGCCCTAGAAGTGGCTACAGCTGCCATGGCCAAGGTGTGTGCCCAGCAAAGAGTTCTGGGTGGGATAGGGAGGAATCCAAATGTGAGCCCAAGTGACTACTGTTCCTGCACTGCAGGAGGAGGCTGGTGGTGGCAGGGAGCAGGATGCTCTGGACCTGTACCAGCACTGCCTAGGGGAGCTGCTGCTGCTGCTGGCAGGTGAGGTCCTTGGCTGTGTCCCCTGCCTGTGCCAGGCCACTGTACCCTCACCACCTGCCCTCTCTTTACAGCAGAGTCCCCGGGCCGGCTGCGGGAGCTGCTTCACACAGAGGTGCCAGCCAGGGTGGGAGGGTGGGTTTTCTATTCCCTTCCACCTACTTCTGCCCATGAGGCCACGTCAGGCTCCCTGGGGAGATCCCTGTCCTAGGAGTGGCATGTCTAGGCATCTGGGGCAGGGGCCTCCTGGGGAGAGGACAGATGGGGGTCAGAGGAGAGGCTGTCCTGGTGGGGTAGGGGTCCTGGAGCGAATTCGAGTGTGGGCGGAAGCCCTACTCACCCACCATGGGTGCATCCTCACTTGGCAGATTCAGAACCTCATGGCTCGGGCCGAGTACCTCAAGGAACAGCTCAAGGTGGGCACAAGGGAGTCATGTCGGGGCAAGGGCATGGGTCCTTGCCTTTCTACCTATGGCTGTCTATCCCCTGTCCCCTCTGTGTATGTTGTGGCTCCTTTGTCTGCCTCTGGCTCTCACCCCTGTGCTGCCTCTGTGTCCCACAGATGAGGGAGTCTCGCTGGGAAGCAGAGGGCCTGGAAAGAGAGGGGTTGTCAGAGTCTGTGCGGAGCTGTGAGTCCTGCCTGGGGCCTGGTGCTCCACATTGGAGGGAGGAAGGTGGGGGTGGACCTGGCTTCTGCCTCTCCTGCTACAGACATGAGCCGAAGCCAGGCATGGTGGTGCATGCCTATCCCAGCACTTGGGAGGCTGAGGCAGGAGGATCACCATGAATTTGAAGCCAGGCTGGGCTACATAGCGAGACCCTGTCTAAAAAAAAAAAACATAAAAAGTAAAAATGTGGCTCTCCCTTTGCACCCCTCCTCAGCTTGCATCCTGCAGTGACCCCAGGACAGCTGGACTTAGCCTGGACCACCCGGAGTACAAGGCACACTCACCCAGGGGACACTAGGAACTCAGTGGCCCTGTGCACCCTGGAGTTTCCTGGATGGACACCTCCAGCCACTCTGGGGTGCTCCCCACACCCCAGGGGTCTCAGGGCCTGTGTTGTCTGCCGGAGCCCCTGGCAGATCTCTGGGAGGAGTTTCCTTTGGGGGACCCTTGCCCTTTAGTGACTGCTGAGCCCTGTGCCTGTCACTTTTGCTCTGCGAGGAGGGCAGGGCCCTTTGTAGGACCCTTCAGCTCTGGTCTCTCCGCCAGCAGCAGATGGCCACTCCCTGGACCCACCCTTCTTGGACACTGTTACTCCAGTGAGCCTCCTCCAGAGTAGGGCACTCAGGGACCCCATCCTACAGTGTGCACTCTGCTGCGCCTCACACCCGCCCCTGCCTCAGTCCTGTAAGATGGCCCTTCCTGCCTGATGTCAGGTCCTTTGGAGGGCTCAAGGCCAAAGTCCTCAGTCCTCATCCCTCCCACCCCAGCCCACTCTGGAGGACACCCCATGCTAGCTGCAGCTGGGAGGCCTGGGAACTGCCTGACCCCATATGAGACTGCAAGAGACCCAGCACAGACCAGGCTACCTGGTCCTAGGCCTAATGCTGCTGCCACCCTGGGCCTGGGTCTCCATCTCTGTGCTGGGGCCACCAATTCCTCCACAGCCCAGATCTTTTTTTTGTTTTGTTTTTGGTACCGGGGATCAAACTCGGGTCCTTGCACTTGAGCAGCAGGCGGTGAAACCACTGAGCTAAATCCCCGGCCCCCACATAGAGTGAATTTACCCTGGAGAGGAATGTGCACACCAGATGGGTTCCTGTAAAAGGCAGTGAGGGTGTTGGTGAAGCCAAACCCTTCTGCTAACAAACGCCACCTTAGGGCAGTAGTCCTGTGTCCTCCCGCTGGAGGTTGGATATGAAGAATGCAATTCATTGTTTCTCTATTAAATTATTTTCAATACTTATGTGACTCTTCTTACCCCAGGGCAAACTGGAGAGGTAACTCTGATCTCAAGCAGGGGTGAGAGGGGCCGGGAAAGCTGGGGAACCTGAGGCAGAGCTGGGGAGTCGCAGTGGGGAGCATTAGGCTTCCCACTCAGCCTGGGACTCAGGCTGGCTGGGGCTGTTTCTCCCTACCACCCAGGGGACAAAGGGGGCAGCAGAAGCTCAGGCATGGGAACCCAGCATGGCCCTTTCCCTCAAATCTCGGCTGAATGGCAGGAGCTGTCCTCTAAGTCCCCATCTGTCCCCAGACCTCCCACCCCTCTTACCCTGGAACCATGGTGAGCAGCAGGCTGGAGTGGGGAAAGGACGGGACTGTTTCCAGCAGGCTCTGTGCTCTTGGTGTGACCAGCTCTTGTTGGGAGCACCCCTGAGAATTAAGGGAGGGGGCACCCCAGACAGTCAGCAGGAGCTGCTCCTTAAGCTTCAGAACATCACAGAGACGTGCCCCTCCCCCACTCCAGTGAGTTGGGTGACTGCTGGCCTGCACCCTTTGAGGGCACCAACTCTCGCCGCTGGGGGCAGTGTGGAGCAAAAGTTCGGGCCAGTCCATCAATCGGCCTTTTCCTTTCTGGGGAGAATGCGGATGAGGTTGGGTGCCCCATGGGAATTGGTACTGAGTTGGTGTACATGGGGCAGACATACATAAGAGCGCAATAAGATGTCATTTTCTAGTCTAGGGAGAGAGACATATTATCTCTGCAAACGGGCCAGACATGAGGACTCAGTATAGCTAGGCGTCATGGTCCGTACCAGTAATCCCAGTGTTCCGGGAGGCTGAGGCAGGAGGATCACAAGTTTGAGCTTGTTCGACTTAATGAGACTTTGTCTCATAAAAAAAATAAAAAATAAATAAACGGCTGGGGATGTAGCTTAGTGCAAAAGTCCTGGGTTCAATGTCCAAACAAAAAAGTTATTTCTACCTCTTATCTTCATTCAACACTTTGAAAGTCTCAAAGCAGGACTGGTGTCCCACAGCAATGTCCTGGGTCCCCACCTCTGCCACACCCTCCACCTCCACTCAGTCACCCAAGTTCAGAGCCAGGACTGAACCACACCTCTGGAGCACCCAGGTCTGGACTCTCAGCCCAGGAAGAGGGAGGTGAGCCTCTGAGGGACCTGATGGTGTGCCTGCCTGCCCCTCCTTTGGCTCACTGGGAGCAAGGCAGAGGATAAATCCGGGTTCCTGCTGAGGTCACCTGGAAGGGCTCCTGTCCCCAGAGGTCGGGTTGCTAGCCCTCCATGAAGGAGAGGCTGGAGCCTAAGGGAGAGGAGACAGCAATGACAATTTTCCCCACATTAACTCACACCCACACCTACATGCTTGAAATCCCACAAACAGAAATACAGGAAGCCCTGTGCACACTCACAGATGCCCACATGAATGGCCACTCGTGGCTTTGAGCAGTGCTCCCCTAGGGTACAGTGCTCCCCCACGGAGGCTGAGGCAGCCAGGACCCTGGCCACCTCACTTCCCGAGCCTCAGGCAGGTTGGGAAAAATTATAAGAGGGTCCCAGGTTAGAGGCAGGGCAGCTGGATCCAGGGGACAGAGGACAGAACCACCCCCACCCCACCCTTCTACCCCTGCCCCCATGCTGAGCATCAGCTGGGTCAGCAGGCACTGCCAGCAGCTCAGTTCGGTGAGGGAACACCCCCCAGATGTCCCCAGTGCCTGCCTGGGGCCTCTGGTGTCTGCCAAGCGACCATCTGGCTCTTGGGGAAAGGGAGATCTGTGCACTCCCAGCCTTGGCCACCCTCCCCAACTCCCCCAGGGACCAGCTGGCCTGGGAATGTCACTCTCCTGCCGCTTAGAACTGGCCTGCTGGTCTGAGCTGCCTGGATGGGGAAAGCGGGAGGGAGACTGGAGGCTCCACTGGTAGGGCCCCAGGTGCCACCAGCTGGAGCCCCAAGGATGCACAGGGGAGACGGAACAGGGAGGCAGCCATCTTGGTTCCCCCTCATTCCCTGGAAGAGCAAGGGAGGTGATGCAGAAGGGCATGTTCACTGCCTGTGACATTTTCTGTGTCCTCAGACTGCCTGCAAGGGAAAGAAGGAAAAGGAAAGGGGGAAAGAACAGGAGTGTGGGAGGGAAAGGCCCAGATCACCGGGCTCTGGACTATGGGGCCCTTGTAGTGGTTCTAGGTACTATAAAAGGGAAGTTTGGGTGGCATATGGCTTGCTTTATGGCCTCCATGTCACACCAGTTGGGCAGGCCAGTCAGGAAGCATGTGATCATCTAAAACAGTAGAAAGACACAGGATGGGGAGAGCAGGCAGACATATCCAGAACAAGAGGACCTGGAGCAGGACAGGTACAAGACGGCACAGAGTCAGGAATGAGAGGGACACAGAGTGACAGAGAAAGTGCAGCAGGGCAGACAGAGAAAGAGGGACCAGGGCAAGCAGGGTGATGCCACTAGAGGTAGAGACCCCTCGGTTTCCCCTCCTTGCCCACCTCTGCCTGAGCCCAGGACCGGCTCCTTCCACCCTAGAGCCTCTCCAACCCCACTCCAGAGCTATCGTAGACAAGCCAGGGCCTCTTGGGGTTCCCAGGCTGTGCAGGGAACCATTGTGGAGGCCAGCCCCCCTTTCCTGACCCCAGGCGCCCCACAGCCCTCCTCTGACAGGGATCAGTGAGTTATGTCGTTGTCATCGTCTTCATCATCATCCTTGTCATGTCCCGCCCTGCCTGCCACCCAGGCCCTGCTCTGGGCCCAGCACGGCTCGGATCGGCCAGGGGCTGTCAGATCACATTAGGCAGAGGCCCCCAGAGGGCGCAGTGCTGACACGAGCCCTGCTGCTGCTGCTTCGAGGTTGGGCCTCCTCCAGCTCGGGAAGGTCAGGAGGGGCTTATCCCTGGCCCAGAGCCCTTCCCAGGAACTCAGGATAACAAGGCAAGGGTGAAGGCTCTGGGCCTCCATCTCCTGTTTGTGGTCTTTCCTGCTCTTCCACCCCCAGTGCAGTTTGGTTTTTGTTTTTTGTTTTTGGTACTGGGGATCAAACTCAGGGCCTTGTGGTTTCAAGGCAGGCGGTGGAACCACTGAGCTAAATCCCCGGCTCCTGCTGTGCAGTTTTGATGTTCCATGTTCTCATTCACAAGGAGTCTTGTGGGCACTGTGCCCTTGAACCCAGTCTACTCCCACTTGTCCATCCTGATGGCTCCCAGAGGACTGCACTCAGCCTCTGCCCACCCAATCCCCAGGCTGAGGGTACTGGGAAGCCTGCAGCAACTCCCACGGCCCTACCGCCCTGAGATCCCTTCCCTCCCCCACCCCGCATTGGCCCAGCCCTGCAGGGGCACAAGGTGACACTTGAGCTCTTCACTTTTGCATTAAAAAAAAAGGGGAACCAGGGATGTGGCTCAGTGGCATCTGAGCCTGCCTGGCAAGTGCAAGGTCCTGAGTTCGAGTCCCAGTACCAGAAAAAAAAAATCTCAACTCATGCTTCACTGCATGGGCACAAACACCTCTGAGGGCACCAGGCTTGGTGACAGGACCAACTTCCTGCTTCACCCCAGGCCACCTCAGGCCATCTGTCAGCCAACCACAGCCAGACGTGACATCATGTGGTCTCTGCACACCTCCTTTCTCCCACTTTGTTTAAAACATGTGAGTCTCTCATGTACCAAGGACAGTACAGATGGTCACACTTTGGGGTCAGAGGTGTGGTTTAGTGGCAGAGCACCTGCTCAGCATGCAGAAGACTGTAGGTCCCACCCCCAGCACAATCAGAAGGAAATAAACACACAGTCACCCTGTGAAACAAGTATCATTGTTATTCTGGGTGGGATCAGAGAGGGAAAGGACCTGGAGGAAGCCACACAGCATGCTGGAGTGAAACACATTTGCTTTGCCATCTTCTGATTCCCTCTGTGTATCTGTTGCATCATGGGGATGGATACAAGCACGAGGGCTAGAGACAGCTGTGGTCTTAGGTAATACCCCCAGGCCCCACCTTGCCACACACAACTCCATCCAGCTGGCTGCCACATTCACCCCAGCCCCTGAGCCCATACTAGTTCACTCACCCCCAGGCTGGACCTGCTGCACCCTTACCCAGGCCCCTGCAAGGGGAGTGCCTGAATTTCCTATAGGGGCTGGGACCAATATCCTCTGGCACTGATGTCCTCTCCCTCCTAGGAAGTCATAGGTGAAGAGAAAGAGGACACCCCTCCAAGGGCAGTCTCTGGGGACCATGACCTCCCATACTCAAGGTCAGGAAGCAGTGGGAAGATGGCCATGTCATCTGGAATTTTTATTTCTCACTGAGCTGGGAGAAGTAATTCTGGCTGTGGAATCCAAAGAGAGTTCTACAGGAACAGAACAGAAATTGGCTGGGCCCTGGGCCCAGAGAGGCCTGGAGCCGCCTGGGCTACTGCTCAGTGCCAGCCTCATCCTTGGCACCCTGCCCCTCTCAGCATTGCTCAGCTCCAGAGCTTGAGTGGCAGCTGCTAGCGGCTGCAGTGCAGCTGCTGCTTTGCCCAAGGAGGGCTGTGGGCTCCGCTCCACGTGGCCAGAATGCCATGCCAGAATCTCAGAAGTCACCTGGTCTGTTCCCATTTTACAGACAATGAGATGAGGCCAGAAAGAGCAGCTTTAATCAATAAAGGTAGACTGGAATGCAGCCTCCTGTCTGCTAAGGAGGCTGCCCATAGTACCTGGGGCTAGTGCTTGGAATTGCTGAGTATGGGGGGTGGGTGTCTGTGTGTGGTTTTGTGTCCCTCTGTAAGTGCATCTGTGTTCAGGAAGCGGGCCACACCCAGAGAGGACCAACTCTTTCCTACAGACTTGGAGGTCTCTCAGGCTGACTGGGGGCCAGCGTCCCACAGGACAGGGTGAGGAACGGGAACTTGCTCCCATGGAGAGGGAGACACCAGAGGCAGCTTGGGCATGGGTGAGAAGGGTCAGAGACCAAGCTGGGGCAGATAACAGAGCTCCAGTGGGGCACAGGTCCCTGGAATTGAGATGACACCCTTTTGGCCCTCATGGGGCCCATCCCTCTGGTTGTCCCAGTGGCCACCCCAGGGGACATGGTCACATGATGTAGCACTTCTCAGCCGATTGCTTGAGGTCTCCCAGTGTGGTCTGGGCCTTGTCCTTGAGGGAGCTGATATCCAAGCTGGGAAGGCTGGCCAGCTGCCCAAACACCGAGGCCTTCTCCTCCTCCTCCTCCGTGTCCTCCTCGATCATCTTGGCCAGCTCCCGGGGCAGCTCCACGTCCCCGCCTGCCATTTGAATCTGGCTCTCATCTGTCTCATTCTGAAGGGAAGAGGGGTGGGCTGAAGGGCAGGGAAGAAGCCCAGCCTGGGTGCCAGGCTCCTGCATTCCCATCCCCTGGGATCAAGCTTGATGCGGGAACATAGAGATCTCACACTTTGACACTGCCTGATGAGTGAAGAGGAAGCAGAATTGCCTAGGAGTCACACTGTCACCAATAGCTGGGTCTTAGGTGATTACCGTTAACCACACTAAAGGACATAGCCAGTAATAGTGATGGGTATCATTTAACAGTGCTTGGACATGGCTGATGTCAAGTGGGGTGCTTTGCATTCTCACATGGAAAAGCATTAGGAGGTAGGTACTATTGTCTCCACGTTACAAATAAAGGAACAGAGGCTCAGAACATTTAAATAAGTAAATTGCCTGTGGCCACACAACCAGGAAGTAGAGGAGCTAGATTCAAACCTATGATGCCAATGTCCATGTTCTACATGGCACCAGCTAATAGCCAGTGCATTTCTGGGTCCCTCTGGAAGGCACTGGAACTTTCTGCCTGAGTTCTACTCAGCTGAATCCAAGTCCTTGCTTCAGTTCTCTGATGGCAGAGTTGTGTTGTGTGTGTCTCTCTGTACTGGGGCTTGAACCCAGAGCCTTGGCACTGACATGCATCCTCAGCCCTTTTTTATGTTGTTAATTCTAAGATAAATTCTCACTAAGTTGCCAAGTAGCCCAGACTGGGCTCAAACTTGTGATCCTCCTGCTTCAGTTTCCCTGAATGCTGGGATTACAAGCGTGCACCACTATGCCCAGCTATGTTGTGTTTCTTATATGCTCAGTGTCAGAATTTGAGGTATGACTCCATTTATTCCTAGCTGGGTTTAGAGTAAGGCAGGCTTTCTGAACCAGTTTGTCTCTTTAAGAGACTTTCAAAAGACCAGTGCCCTGTGGGGGAATCAGAGGCAGCAGGGCCTCAGTAAACATTCATTGCATGAGTGCATGCAATGTCCATATATTTCATCTTTCAGTTCAACTGAAGATCAAGGTCACTTCTTTGCCCTTGAAGAATCTAGCACAGTTCTGGGCACACAAGGGTGATATTTTTGGAGTGGCTTGTGTCTCAGTTTCCTCCTTAGGCAACAGAAGAACACATACACATGCCTACCTGGTGCTGCACTACCTAGGCAAGACTGGGGGATGGGAGCCTCATGAGACAGCTCCTGGGCTGCCGGGCCAGCAAGGCTCATGAGGCTCAAGACAGCTGCTTGGGAGTATTACAGGGGTTTAGGTGAGACTGTGAAGGTGAAGATGTTCACATGTCTGGCACACACACAGACACCTGCCTCCTCTCCCCACCTCACCCTCTCTGTGCTCAGAAGCCCCAGGTAAAATCTGCTCTCTGGCTCCTCTGCATCTCCGTGGGCCAGGCCTGACTGGGTATTGGGAGGTGGAGAGGAGAAAGGGCTTGGATTGACACCAAAAACACAAGCCTGCCAGTTTCCAGAGACCTGGGCTTTCTCTCAGCACCAAGCTCTGGCCTGAAGGGAGCTGGTAAACCACAGGAGCTCATGAACAAATGAGTGGACAAAGGAATGAGAAAAGGAAGCATTTAACTGAGCACACCCCGGGGCCTGTGGGCTGAGAGTGGCGGCTCCCCTTGGCTAAAGCCCCCACGTACCTTGGGCAGCCGGTACTTGTCTCGGAAATGACTCCGAAGCGTGGCCCGCTCTGCCTTCCTCTGCATGAACTGTGCATCCCGCTCCATCCTGTGGGGACAGGGTTGATGTCACTGCAAGGGCTGAGGGGGCTTCGAGGGAGGGGTCTCTAGGTCTGGCAGCAGGTGGCATTGGTCCCTCTTGCTGGCCAGCATGAAGCTGGGATGCTCGGACCTGGCCTGCCAGGTGAATCTGCTGCCTGTCCCCAGCACAGTGCCCCATCACCACAGCCCTGTGTAAAACTTTGCTGTCTGCCTTTTCCTCCCTGACAAACTGTGTCCTGTGGGGGAGAGTATTCAGAACAGACTCGGGGTCCCATCACGGCTCCATTACCACTTTGAAAGCCACTTTACTTTCCTCTTCCGTAAAAGGGGGATGAGAACTTGCAACTCACAAAACTGCTACGAATAAGTGAAATAACCATAGCTAACATTTAATGATAATTTCCCATGTGCCAGACATTGTGCTAAATGGTTTACATGCATGAAGTTATTTCATCTTCATAAATATTTAAGGTACCTATTATGATTACCACCCCAATTCCAGAAGAGGAGGCAAAGGAAGGTTAAGCAACCTGCCTAAAGTAACCCAGCTAATAAGAAGCCAACCCAGGACGTGGACCCAGAGTCCAGTCTCTAACTCCACCCTAGCTCTGCTCATGCCAGAACTGCGACCACACCGTGGGTTCACTCTGCAGGACAGCCTGCATCCCAGGACCTGTCTCCACAACTCTGAGCCCCGCCGAGCAGCTCTTTTCTTAGAGCCTGAGGCTCAGGGGAGCCCTAGTCAGAAGGCTCAGGCCAGATCGGATTAAGGGATTACCTGTTTCAACAGAAATCCACGTGCTCCTCCCTCCCCACCCCAGTAACCAGTCTACCTTCCCCACTCCCTCAGGGCCACAGGAAGTTGGAACAGGTCCTGGGTGTGCAGAGGAGCTGGCGGAGAGCAGCTAGAGGACACCCCCAGCCTCTTAGGAAGTTCAGGAAGGAAGAGAAAAGGGCTTGGGTTGCAGGCTGGCCTAGCGGTGGCCCAGCAGCTGCAAATGTCTGTGTGTGTTTGGGGGGGTCATTGGGGCCAGGAAGGAATCCCACTCACTTGTCTTCCACCAGTTGCTTCTGATACTCCTCGTATTCCTCTCGGCTCATGCCCTGCGCCTCGGCGGCCGACTTGTCCACATCTCCCTTGTCCTCGCCGCCCCCTAGGCTCCCGGTGAGGTTCTTTAGCTGGCCACCCACCATGGTCTTCACCATGAACGCCATGGTCTTGGCTGGCAGGGGCAACAGGCGTCGGGGACCGCCCGGGCACTGCACGTCCGCGTAGACTTCAGCACTGGGTCCGCGGACAGCTCCCACGAGCCCCGCCCCATTCTCCCGGCCCCGCCCCCGCCCCTCCGCAGCCCCTCCCCCGTGGGCGGGGGGCGCGTACGGGGCTGGAACTGCGGGACCGCGTGCAGCTAGCACTCCCCAAGTGCCTTGGTCCACGCTGAGCTCCCGGCCGCACTGGCAGCGGATTAGGGCCTTCGGTGGTGGGGTCGCTCCCCGGGGGAACCCTGCCTTCCTCTCCTCCTCCCTCCCCTCCTCCAATCCCTCCACTCCTGGGTCACTCGGGGATTCCAGCTGCGGGATGGGGACAGCAGCAAGGGCAGAGACCCACCCTAATCTCCACTTCACCCCGCAAATGCTGACCCCAGCAACTACCCAAAGAGCTTGAGGAGATAAAGGGAGGGAGCCCGGGAGCGGGGAGCAGGAATCCCAGTTATGGCTCAGGAGTTGTTTCTAGAGTTCCACTGTCACGTGCCTGCCCTGCTGTCGCTGGAACTGTGTGGAGGGGGAAGGAGAATGGTTTGGGGATTTTGGCAGGGCTGGGCCAGTAGGGACATCTCCGGTTGTGCTGGGCAAGTCTGGGGACAGGGCAACCCAAGGCTGAGATGCCCTCCTTCCAGGCTATCGGTATATGTTCTTCTGGTAGTTAAGCAAGACCTTGGCTTCTCTGTATTTGGAGCCCACCTGGCCACTCCCTATCCAGAGGAGCTGGAAGGTAAATGAACAAAGCGTGGGGACAAGGAAGTGGACTTTAATAAGGTGGGCCTTGTAAATGTCAGGTGTGGGCCATAGCTGGGCACCCAGGGGAAGAGGACTCGGACCATGCTGTTCACACCCTGGATGCCATGTGCTTCCTCACAAGAAGTGGCTTGGATGTGGATCAGGCATGCATGCTGGGGGAGAAGAGCTGCCTCCTTGGGGACCCCACCACCCTGGGAACGTCTGGTGCAGGATCTAGAGGGAGGCTCCCCAAGGACCAGCACTTCTGAAGTCTCTTGTCCAGCTCCTGTCTGCTGCCAGGGAGAGAGGTAGGTTACTTGGGTCTCTCCTCTCTGGGCTTTTGTTTTTCTGAGACAGGGTCTTGCTATGTAGTTCAGGCTGGCTTTGAACTCACTATGCAGTCCAGTCTCAAACTTGTGGTGATCTCCTGCCTCAGCCTCCCGTGTCCTGGAGTTATAGGCCCTTCCTAGCTGCTTGAAACCTACTTCGCTCCACTCACTGCCCCAGAGCCACCCCTTCTCTGCAGTCCTTATGGTTGCCTTCGTGTGCCACCTAAGGTTCGCATTTCCCCTTGGCATTTGAAGTCCATCTAGGCGGCTTAGTACAGCACTGCATTCCTGCATGTCCCCATGAGCCCATGATCATTTCTACTTTGTGCCTATTAAAGCTCAACACTGTCCACTTCTTCTCCTCTAGGACCATCCCAACCCACACAGATTCTTCTCCTCTTGAAATTCCCCCAGCAAGGACTGCTAGTTCCTTTTCTGAGGCTCTTAGCGTATCTATATCTGTAGATGGTGCACATTCATTCAGCAAACACCCACCACCCACCAGTGACCCACTGAGAAGAAAGAATGATTTCCCACCTCCTTCACTTTTTTTGGGCGGGGGAACTACTAGGGATTGGACCCAGGGCATTTGCACTGAGCTACATCCCCAGCCCTTAAAAAAAAATTTTTTTTTTTTTTGAAACAGGGTCTTACTAAATTGCTAAATTCTCAGACTGAGCTGAAACTTTCAGTCCTTTTGCCTCAGCCTCTCAGAGTGCTGGGATTACAGGTGTGTACCACCATGCTCAGCTTCCCTCCACCTTTTCTATTATCTTTGTCCAATGTCACAAACTGATCCTGCTCTTGTCTCTAACAGTACTGAGTTATCATTTTTTCCAGAATATTATGCTTTTCTTCATGCTCTCATGGCTTTTCTCCAGCAGTGAGGCCTTTACCTATCTTGGCAGGTTGGAAAACTCCTAGTCACCTTGATGACCCATCTCAAATGTCCTTTCAAGGTTGATTCCCTGCGTCTCCATGTGCTTTCTCCTTTGCTCTTGCAGTCCCTGAGTTTCTGCCATCAGTGGTGACCACACAGGTATCACTGTCAGCTCCTGGCCACCTCCTCAATGTGGAGGGCTCTGTGAGGTGGGAGCACATGGCCAGGGGGCTGCACAGGGTGCCTGTGCTCGGGGAGAGAAGGGTCCTAGCCTGTGCTCTGCTGCTTGCAATCAACCTAGAAAGAGATAACCCAGAGCCATGCGCTTCTGGGCAGTGTGAGGAGCCTGGCACACAGGGACCCACCTGAAGTTCACGTAGTAGAAGAGGCCTGCGGTCTGGATGAGGAGGAAGAGCAGGAAGACCCCAGGCCGCAGGCACGCTGGGGTCCCTGGGCACCAGCCAGGTAGCCGGTGGCCCTTGGCTGCTGCTTTCTGAAAGGGGAGAGTCTGGAGTCCTGGCTAAGCTTGCAACCCAGGAGGGAGAGGCCCTTGAATCTGTGCCATGCGTGGGCCTCACGCATCTCCCCGGGCCTGGGGCATCATGGCTGTTATCTGGAGAGGGGATGGTGCATGGAGCTGCCTCCTCACCCCAGACTTCATGGCTGCGTGTGGGGAAAGTTGGGAAGACCTGGAGTCTGGGATCATCAGGGGCCAATGGCTTGAGATGAGAGACAGAGAAAAAGAGAGAGGGAGAGAAAGAAACAGACAGACAGAAAGATAGATAGATACAGGGTGAGAGCAAGGGAAAGAGTAGGAAAGGGATTTGGCAGCATAGGGCAGAGTGGCTCCACTGCTGCATGACGGGTGATCTCCAGCAAAGCCGCCTATTTCCTCCTGGTCACTGAGGGGGTGGACATTGAAGGGGTCCCCAGGACTTTGCTGCTTTTGAGTCTGTGGGACTCTCCAGAGACCAGAGAGGGTGGAGAGAAAAAAGATGGACCTGCGTCCTCGCATGCCTGTGTTCATACTCCAACACAGACACACACACAGATGTGCCTTCTTGCCTCATGGAAAGGAGAGCAAAGGCAGTGGGCACCTGGGCTACAGAAGTGCTGGGAGTGAGTGGCAAAGTTCAGACCCCAGGGAGGAGGCCCCATGCGCCACCTTCTCCTCTCTCACCCCTAGGCCCTGAAGGTCTTTATGCAGGAAGTTCAGGATCTGGTCCAGCTCCAGGAAGTGATGCTCAGTGCCCACAGGCAGAGAGATGACCTGGGCTTCTGAGGCCATGTGGGCAGCGACATCCCTGGTGGGGTGGACACAAGGAGGTCACTCATTCACCTTCTGCTTGCACCCAGATCATTTCCCACGATCCCTACACAGGGTTCAAATGGAGAACAGGCACCATCCTTTTAGGGGGTTGGTCTTTGCCCCAGACCTTCTCTCTGGGCCCTAAGATACCTTTAGCCCAGACAAGGATTTCCTTAAAGCTTCCTGGCTCAACCACTGGCTCCCTGGGCTCCACCTTTGACCCCCAGGAAGCAGAGTATTTGGCTTCTCTTCCTTCTCCTCTTCCCCTTTGGCATCCCAGGCTCCTAGATGTGGTGGGGAGTGGACATCCATGCAGCCAGGTGATTTCCCAAACTAGGGCTCCACAGGTACCTCCTGGGACTGCAGACTTCACTTTGGGAGGCTGGGAGACTTGTAAAGAACAGAGGGAACAAAGGGCTGCCTCCTCCAGCTGGCCTGGTCTTGGCTGTATCCCTCCAAAACCTCTATCAAACACTGGCTCCTTCCAGAAGCTGTCAACAAAGGACAGCTCAGATTTACTGACCCTGCCTGGGGTGGGAATATCTCATGGGGGCATGATGGTCTGTTCCTTTTTAAAATTCCTGTTTCTATTTTTATTAGCACATGTTTGTAGTACAATAATGATTCCATTTATTGTGGGGAGTTGGTATATGTATGTATCACAATTTTTTATTTTTGAGATGGGGGTCTCACTATGCAGTTCAAGTGGGCCTTGAACTCATGTAGCCCAGGCTGGCCTCAAACTCACAGCGATCCTCCTGCCTCAGTGTACTGAGTCCTGGGATTATGGGAGTGCGCCACCACACCGTGTATGCAGCACATTTAGATGTTGGGGTTCTCTTGAGGAGAGTTGCTTTTTCTTTTTTGGTACTGGGGCTCAAACTCAGGACCTTGGACTTGCGAGGCAGGCACTGTGCCACTGAGCTAAATCCCCAGCCGGAGGAGCATCGCTTTTGAAGTCAGACTTTTAAGACTTTAAACTCGGTTCAGTTAAATTCAATTCAACTCAGCCAACCCAATCCCCAGCCTGTCTCCCTGCCAAACTCTGTTCTAGGTGCTCAGGAAGCCAGGAAAGAAAGGACTGCAGGGCCATGGACCCTCTTTGGGTGGAGAGGCGTATTGGTGGGGGCTTCTCTTTCCTCTCCCATCCCCTCCTCCCTGTCTCTTACCTCATCTCTTGCAGGGCTTGAAGCAGAGTTCGCTGTTCACCAATCAGGGTGCTGACTTTGGCGGGGTCCTGCAGCGGGGAGGGGATAGCCTCTGGTTCAGGGTTGAAGGTCTGCTTTCTCAGGGCCGCCTTCCTTGGGGATACTGCAGCCCTCCTCCTTCCAGGGGCTTTACCAGAGTACCAGGGACCTCTTTGTTTTATTTATTTTTGGTTTTCTGAGACAGGGTCTCACTATGTAGTCTGGGCTGGCCTTGAACCCACTATGTAGCCCAGCTGGCCTAGAACTCTCAAAGATCCTCCTGCTTCAGCCTCCTGAATGCTAGGATTACAGGCATGCACCACCACACCAGGCTCACCCTTTTCATTTTGGACACATTGAGTTTCCCTCCTCTCTGTCCGTCTGGGATCTGGAGTCCCCTCCTAATCTCAAATCCCCCTCCCCTTCCCACATTCCTGGATTTTTCAAAATCCTCCCCCTTCTAATCCCTCCCATCCTAGTCCTCTCTGTCCCCTTCTCCCTGGGTGAGAGCCAAGCTGGGGGCCAGGTCTGGTTAATACCCCATGCTTTGAGTTCCTGTCCTATCAGGTGGCCTGGAAAGGAAGCTGCCTCTCTTGGGGTGGATGGAAACTGCCAGGAGAGGTCCTGAGCCTGGAGGTGGGACCAAGAGGACTGGTCCTAGGGTATGGGTCCCTCCGTAAGCTGCTCTAGCCTAGGGACACAAGACTAAAACCTCAGCTGTCAGAGCCCAGCAAAGCCTGAGGGAGCTGCTGGCCGAATGCCCTGTCTGGGTGGGTTTAGCTCCCAGGTCCCCAGGCAGGGCATGCCTGGGGCATGATTCTCAGGGGAGGAGCCAGGATGACAGTGGAGATGAAATGAGGATTTGTGCAGCCGAGCATTAGGCAAGGCATATGCAAATCACATGTGCAGCCACATGCAAATTGGCACCTAGTCTATTTCTGTCATTTGTCTCTGGTCCAAATCCAAATATTTGTCATCACCTCTTCCCTGCCCTGCTGTGTGGGCATTTGCGTATCCAGAGATGCCCTCTCAGGCAGCCCTGCCCCACCCTGTGATCTTCAGCCTTTTATCCCTCCCCTCTTTGCCTGCCATACCTTAGAGGAAACTTGCGCCTGGCTCTGTCACTTGCTTTTGTTTTTGTTTTTTTGAGACAGGGTCTCACTATGTAGCTCAGGCTAGCCTGGATCTCAGCGATCCTCCTGCCTCAGCCTCCCCAGTCCTGGAAATATAGGCGTGCACCGCTACACCCAGCTCTTACTGTTCTTTGAGGCCCCTAGGTGGAGATACGGATGCCCACAGGCCACTCACCCATCCCGCCTCAGACCTGGCCCAGCCTGTATTCCCCAGCTGCTTCTTCCATTGCTTCTTGGCCTGGGCCAGGCGCTCAGAGAGATCCCGGAGGCTCTGCAGGATGTGGCTGTGTCTGCTCAGCATCACCTGCAGGTCAAAGGGCCTTTCCCCTGGGAAAGAGCTGGGACCAGTGGCAGCTGTACAGGGGGAACAGAAGCTATTTGGGGGAGTTCTTGGAGAGGGGCATCAGAAGGTAGAGCTTCTGCTTCAGGACCCGCCCTGGAATGTGTCTGGGTGGTGAGGTACGGACAGAACAGAAGACCTGGGCCCAGGTTCTGGTAAATACAGCTTCCTCAGGCCACCATCTCGCCCTGGGTTAAAGGGCTCCTGGTTCTAAGGACAGAGGGTCTTGTGATGCCTCTGCCCTAGGCTGCTACCTCCTTCCTGGGATCCGGATTTTGGCTGTGGATGTGTGCTCTTCCTGGTTCCCAGGGCCAACCTTGCCCGAAGCCCTTCCTGCTGCCTGGCCAGGCGGAGTTGCTCCATCTCCAGGAAGGGCCCTGGGGGAGCCTGGAGGAGGGAGATGGAAGGTTGAGGCCCCAATCCGTGGAGACCCGGAAGTGGGGAGCCCTCCCTCAAGAGCCCCTCTCCCTGACAAAGCATCCCCCAGCCAGGGAAGAGCCCTTTGCTCAGTCACCAAGCCTGAGGTTTCCAGCCACAGGAGCTCAGTCTCCACTGCTCATTGCCACCCCTTCCTCCCCACTGCAACCCCAGACCTCCTCCAAGGCTATCTCCCCCAGGCCTCCTCTGACCTCTCCTCTGTGCCCCACAGCCCCTTATGTTTGTTGACCACCAGCACTGGTCACTGTATGCTGTCCTGTCACAGCCTGGCCGTGCCAGGCTGGGAGGCCTGGGGGCAGTGCCTGGCTCCCAGCACAGCCCCGAACAAGGCAGAGGGGTCTGAGGGCACTGTGACAGGGGCTGGTGTTTGGGGATAGGAGGGTCCTGGCTGGCATCACCTCTGGACCAGGCTCACTCAGACTGAAGGTCAGGAAGGACAGGACATCATGGTCATCTGGAAGAGGGGTGGGGAAGGGAAAGTAATATCCTCCCACCCAGCACCCTGACCACTCAGCCTTTGTCCCTAGGCTCTGGGTGACTTGGAGCAGCTCTCTGATCTTTGTCTTCCTCAGGTCCTAGGAGGGTGTGGGGACAGACAAGCAGATGTGTGGCTTCCAGGGTTGAAAACACCTTTGACCAGAGGTGACCCCGGGGCAAGTGGGAAAACTGAACCATCACAAGACATAGTGGGCTGGAGCCACAGGAGCAGACCAAGGGACTCTCCAGCTGCTACAGGAAGCACCAACATGCAGTGGCCACTTCCCCCGCATGGCTCTGACCATATCACTTTCCTCCTCAGGAAACTTCCCTAAGGCAGGAGGGTTCCAAGTTTGAGCCCACCCTGAGCAACTTGGTGACTCAGTGAGATTGTCTCAAAATAAGAAAATTTTAAAAAGGGGCAAGGATGTAGCTCAGTGTGAAGACCCTGGTTCAATCTCCAATACTTGAAAAAAGAAAAAGAAAGAAAGAAGAAAGAAAAGAGAGAAAAAGAAAAGAAAAAGAATCCTTCCATGGCTTCCCAGTGCCCAGAGCCTACAGACCAAAGTCCCAACGCTCAAAGATTCCTACTTTCCAGGGCCCTCAGAGGCTCTCCATACACCACATTCCTCTGCTCCATGTCCCTAAATGTCCCTCGTGCTTTGTCCCTTTCATCTGCCCCAGTATCTAGTGAGGTGCACTTACAGGGACAGTTGGGATGCAAACTGCTCATGTTTTGTCCCATGTGAGACCTGCAGTAACCCTCCTGTTAGTAACAGAGGCCACTGGAAGGCAGGTGACCAGCCTAGGTCATGTGGCGAGGAGGTGGTTGCCCCACTCAGGGTCTGCAAAGATCTGCTAAGGGCTTGTCACGAACACCGCCCCTCTGCTCTCACCTCCCCTTGTACCTCACCTGCCAGTGTGCTGGTAGCTGCTGAGATCCCAAAGGAACCTCCGGGGGCCAAAAGCAGGGGTCCCACATCGACACAGACCTCTTCTGGATCACTAGGGGTAAGGCCGCTGCTCAGTGATACCTAAGGAGCATGGAGGCGCTGTGTCTCATCCTCTGAAGGAGGGCAGACAGCCACAGGGCTTGGGACCAGAGTAATGTGGAGGTGACCTGCGTCCTGGGCTCATGTGAGCCTCCTGTGCAAATGCCCTGTGGGTGTGGATTCTGGGTGCTGCCTGAATGTGCCACTGACCCCATGGGTGTGAGGACTCATGTGTGCCCAGGAACCCCTTGTGATATCCCAGACTTGAGCTGGGGCATGGGCACCCTCAGGCAGCACCTCTGTAGCCTGGAGCTCATGACCTGCACTCTCCAGCAGAGGCCCCAGAAAAGGAAGAGGACTCACTCGCAGCCTCTGTCGCCAGTAGGTGATCCGTGCTCTGAACGGATATGGCTGATTCCGGAAGTCCCGATGACAGGAGCCCAGCACCCGGATGCCTCTATTCCTGTGGGCACTTGGAGTCCAGCCAGGCCACAGAGTACCTCAGGCCTGGCCATGCGGGGGAGTTCCAGAAGCTACTCTGCCACCCCCTCGCCCCTGGGTGACCTGGGATGGGACAAGTCCGTATTGTCTAGCTTGAGTCTTTCTTGCTGGCATCTGCCTCATGCACAGAAGAAAGAAGAGGAGAGCCAGCTCTGCCTAGAGTTGACTTGGGAAGGGGCCAGGGGCCTCCATACGGATGTCACCAGAGTCAGAGGTCTGGGGCAACCATGGGGTCTGACTTCTGTGCCCCTAACCCACCACAATATCTCACTGTCCCTTCCTCCTCTCTTTTCCTTCAGCTCCAACTGCCCCCACGCTTCTGAGGAGCATGGGACAGGTCCCAGCAGCCCAGGACGGTATGAGCAGCCCACAATCTCTGGGGAGTTAGGAGCAGAGCATTGGGCCCCAGGTTTCTCTGGGCACACGGGTGCTGCTGGCAGCTCATACAGAACACCTGTCACTGCCACTACGGCAGCACAGGGCACCAGGGCGTGCACACTAACTGTTCGACCTTGGGCGAGTTACACCACCTTTGCAAAGCCTGGTGTCTTGTCTTTAAAACAAGGGGATAATTGCAAGTAGCTCATAACCATATTACCAGGGTTCATGAGACGGTGAGTGTCAAGCACACAGGCACCGGGCCAAGGACAGTAAGCTCAGCTCCACAAATGTGTGCAATTATTCTAATTGTTATGAGAGGAGGCTGTTTGCTGAGAGACACTGACAAACTGGCCCAGCCACCAGGAGGCCACGTCACCCGGAGAAAGGGAAGGAGTAGCCAGCAGGGCAGGGTGGGGACCTTCACAGGCAAGTCTGGGCTCGGATGCCAGCTCTGCCCATGGCTGTGTGACCTCAGCAAATCGCCTCACTTCTCTGGGCTTGGCATCCTCACCGGATTGTGAAAATTCACTGGGGCTGTCCCCGAAGAAGAGGACAGGACTCTGGGGGCTGGGTTGGGAGCCAGTAGGTAGAGGCCTAGGAGGCCAATGAGGTGGCCGCTGGAGGAGGTGGCCCGGGGGAAGTGTGACTGATGCTGCATGAGCCACTCCCCACAGGCTCTTACCCAAGGTGCTCCTGGGAGCTGTGGCCGGCACCAGCCAGCACATGGATGGCAGGGCTGTTCTGCAGGAAGGTGACATCAGCTTCAGCCAGGGCACAAGGAAGAGACCAGGAGGAAGTGCGAGAGGGGAGCGTGGGAGGGGACTGCTCCTCACCTGGGTGTCCTGGGCTGAAGAGTTGAAGAAGATCCCCACACCGTCCCTCGAGGCCAGCTGCCTGGGTACAGAGCCGATGAGCCCCCTGTCCTGGGTGTACCACATGACCTGCAGGGCCCCAGCCCCTGAGCTCAGGGGTCTCCGAGGATGCTGGAACCCTGGGCTCATCACTCTTACCAGGCCTGGGTGGGGGCCACTCACCATGCCCTGCATGCCCCGGTGGCCTGGCCCGGTCACCCGAATCTGCATTTCCACCTCCCAGGCCGGGAAGAGGACCAAAGCTCTGCTCCACACAGCACCACTGCGGTTCCTCAGGGATGGAGCCAGCCGCACCTCCTCCAGGCCTGGGATGGCATCTATGGAGCAGGCAGCTGAGACACTGTGCCCACTCCACCCTCAAGCCCTGTTCCTCTGTCACATCAGCCATAGCCAGGTCCCAGGAGGAGGCCACACCAAGACCTGTGGTTAAGGGGCTGAAGAACACCTATAATCCCAGCACTCTGGGAGGCTAAGGCAGGAGTTTTATATGTTCAAACCCAGCCTGGGTGACTTAGTGACTTAGTGAGACCCTGTCTTAAAATAAAAAATAAAAAGGGATGGGGATGTAGCTCATTGCAAAGGCCTTGGGTTCAATCCCCAGTACTGCAAAAAAAATTTTTTTAAAGTGTGGTTGTGGTGGTGGTGGCTGGTCAGATGCAGGAGTGGCCAGGAGAAGTGGGAACCAGGACCCACACAGCTGGAGGGGGTTTCGGGGGTCTGAGGGCAGCAAATGCTGTTCTGCCTGATTCTTAACTTAGCCTCACCACAGGCTTTTACCTTTTAGAGATGGGGAAACTGAGGCTCAGAAATGTTAAGGAAATATACATGGATCGGAATTCAGTTTTATGGCTCCAAAGTGCAGGCTTTTCTACCCTGAGGGAGACTGAGGACTTAGGAGGGCAAAGGAGGCACTTGTGACCCCAAACACAGAGGACACCTTGCAACTCCACAGTCATGGAGGCTCAGGACTGCAGCAGGGGGAGCTAGATGAGGGAACAGAGGTGGGCCTGGCCTGCAGGGCAGTCTGGTGAGGCAAGGGTGCAGGGGAGTGGGGTGGACAGGAAGGGGTGCTGTGTGATAGCTGGGAGGAGGAGGGGGAGAAACTGAGGCCAGCCTGGCAGGAGCTGGGGGACAGGAATCAGGGGCCCCCTCCAACCTGTCTCCCCTGCCAGCCTGGAACCTGGTTGAGGGCCTGGACCCTGCTAGGACTTCCCGAAGGCTGCTAATCCAGCCTGTTTTCTCAGAAAGGCTAGGGATGGGTGGGAGGTGGTGGGCCTGTCCACTGCTGCTGCGAGTGGCCACCCAGCCCCTGTTAATGGCTGGGGGCCTCACCATGACTTTGGGCTCCTGAAGCCCAGCTGAGCCCTGGGACTCGGGCTGGACCCAGACAGTCATGGTGTTGGGACTCAAAGGGGAGGAATGGGTGAATAGTGAATGAATCAGTAGGGCATCTCCCCAACATGGTCTGTGACTCCCCAGGCCTGGCAGGCCCAGAGCAGTGAGTGTTGTCCTAACCCTGCCACCCTGACCCCGAGGCAGGGCCTACTCCTTTGTCTCCTTCCTGTGCCCCTGTGAAAGAGGGCTTGAAGGAAGGCCCAGCTGACAGGGCTTATCATCTTCACGGGCCTCAGTCAGGAATGATTCCATTTCTTGGAATTTACATTTTATAGAAATACACAGCTGGGCCAAGGATGTAGCTCAGTGGCGCTCCGCCTGCCTTCCAAGTGCAAGGTCCTGAGTTCAATCCCCGGTACTGAAAAAAAAAACCACAGCTGATCTGCTTTCTCTCTTTGCCTGCTAGGAGGCTCTGAGCAAAATCCATGGCTGGGCAGACTTCCCAGTATACATTTTGGAAACAAGCCATGTTCTTGAACTTGTATCAAGCCCTGCTCTAAAGCCCCTGTCTTCTTGCTTACTATTTTTTTTTTTTTTTGTTACCAGGGATCAAACTCGGAACCTTGTGCTTGTGAGGCAGGTGCTGGAACCACTGAGCTAAATCCCCAGCCCATTCTTGCTTACTCTTAATTCAGCTCCTCTGTGTTGTAGCCTTCTAGTAAATCATTACTACCCTTTCTGAGAACAAGATTCGGTGAAAGACAGACTCCTTTTAGTCGGGTCTGGAAATCCCACTGCAGACCTGTGGGCTAAGAAGCTCTCATGCCTGTTCCCCTGTGCCTGAGCACACTCCGAGGATGCATCGTTTCTGTGTTTAGAACACCCGTGTGTGTGAGTGAGTGTGTTCACAGATCCAAGAGGCAGAGGAGGAGAAGGAGGTTCAAGGAGAGGCAAAGGAGGACAGAGCAGTCCCGAGGCAGAGGAGGGGCAGAGAGGAGAAACTGAGGCCAGTGGGGGATCAAGAGACAAGCCTGGGAGAGGTCCTAGGCCCTCGAACCTGGCAGAACCTGGGCCAGGCAGATCCCCTTCCCTCCCAGTCACAGCCCTCAGGGGCTCCCAGCCTCGCCGGTCCCCTCCTCTGTGCTCACCTCCATGATGGCTCCAGAAGGGTATTCCAGCCCCCGGCCATGCCAGCCTTGGGCCTTTGAAGCTGAGCTTGTACTCAAACCTGCGCCGAGGAAGAGGGGGGCTCTCCTCAGCACTGTAGGGTGCCAGGAGCAGGAGGAAGGGTAGGCAGAGCAGGATAGTAGGACCTTGGCCCCCCACCATGGTGGAACAGAAGGAACTGACATCCGGGTGCCAGGGTAATTGGAGTTGGGAGGCCGGGGAGGAGGGGTCCTGGGCCTGGGCCAGGCAGGAGGATCTGGGCACCACCAGCACCTGGCTTTTGGCGCTGACCTGTCCCTCCCTCCTCAATGCAGACATCCTGTTCCTCCTGGGCTGATCTCAAGCCCCACCCTCCCCTGCCAGCTGAGTTGCTGCCCCTGCTCCTGGGCTCCAGCAGCTGGTGGCAGGTTTGGGTACCTGGAGCACCCAGGGAAGGCCATCTGCAGAGCCCTGGCTCCTCCTCCCTGCCAGGGGTAGGGATGGTCTGCCTCCTGCCTCTGTGCTCCACACAATGTCCTGACTCTGGCCACCCATCCACCCACCACTTCTTCCTCTCCTCTTTGCCTCTCCCCACCTTCTCTCCGCTTTCCTGAAAGCAAGCTTGTCCTTCCCAGCACCTTGGTGTGCTCACCAATAAATCACATGAACAAGGGAGGGAGGCTTACACGGCAGAGCAAATAAACGCACTTTATACACTTCATGTGGAGCCTAATTTTAACCCGCCAACTGGAAAAAAAATAAGATAATTGGGGAAATTTGAATAATGCATATTTGGTTATATTAAGAAATTATCACGCTGAGCATGGTGGCTGCAGCACTCGGGAGGCTGAGGCCAGAAGATTGCCACATGTTTGAGGCCACCCTGGGCTACATAGTGAGACCCTGACTCAAAAAACAGCAACAAAAAATTATCTTTAAATGTTTTAAGGTTAATGTGGTACTATGATTGTGCAAGTCTTGTCTTTTAGAGAAACATACTAAAGTTTTATCAATGAATTCAGATAATGTCTGGGATTTGCTCCAATATTCCAGGGCCTGGGGACAGCAGGAGGTGGAAGCAGCAAGGAGGCGGGAATTTGGAGTTGGTAACTGCTGATGTAGGGTTCAGTACACCCTTCTTTTCGTCCTTTATTTGGACCTCACCACCTCTGTCAGGATGCCCTCCCTCTGCCCTGTCTGCCCTCTGTGTCTGAGAAGCTACTTGAGTCTCCTGTTGCTTCTGTCTCACTGGCTGGGTGGCACCCACTGGATTCCTGGGCCCCAGGGCGAGAGTTCTGGAAGGGTCTCCTGTGCCTCCATGAGCTCCACAGGAACAGGGGTGACTGTCCTCAGGGACAAAGACTCAGCAGCCGGAAATGGAAATGGTGGGGATGGAAGGTTGGGGGCCAGGGGAGGGGCCAGGGAGGGGCCCATGTCTGCAGCTGGACCCTCTATTCTCCTCCACACAGGCTCTGTGGAGGTTGCTGGACTCTGGTTGGCTTGGAGCAGCTGATTAGAGTTGATAAAGGGCCCACACAATGGAGCCAGGTTGAAGCCTGGAACTGGCCATGGCTGAGTCAGTGCCATAGACCAGAGCTCCCACTGCACTCCCTGCCCTGGATTTGGACTGTCCTTTTCCCATCCCAACTCCCCCCAAGGAAGGCCCCACTGTCCTTCACTTTCATCCCCTCCTCTCAGTCCTTTGATGTGACCTGAAGGTCACGTCCTTCTTGTTGGTGGCCAGAGTTGCCCAAGCCTGTTTTACATATATCTGCCACATCCTCCTCCTCTGCTTCTTGTCACAACTCCATTACTCAAAAAGCTGTTGAACTCGGACTGTTCCCTCTTCTCTAGCCACTGCAGTTTTGAAGGTCCCTACCAAACCCAGGTCCTCAGGGATCTCCTTGCCAGGCATGTGGCACCCATCTGTAAGCCCTGCAGTCTGGGAGGATGAGGCAGGAGGATCTAAGTTACCCAGGCTGGGTAACTTAATGATTTAGCAAGAATTTGTTTCAAAAAACAAAGAGCTGGAGATGTAGCTTATTGTGGATTTCAATACCCAATACCATAAAAAGCAAAAACAAGACCTCCTTGAGGTTAAAGTCAGTGGGGGGAGGCAGGAACCCTGGCCCCTTCTGGTCCCTCCATGGCCTCCTATTCTCAGCCACTCCCTCTGGCAGTGGGCGTGGTCACCTCCTCCACCTGGTCTTCCATGATGGGAGCTCCTCACCTACTAGGCCCTGGGCTCTTCCTTCTGTGACCTTGCCCTTGCCTATAGCTACCTGTTCTGATGCTCCAGGTTCCTCCTCCAGTGTCTGGAGTCCCACAACTCAACCTAGAATGCTCAGCAGCTTCAGAGGCTCTTCCAGCAATACGAGCCCCACCACCCACCCTCCCCGCATCCATCCATCTGTCCATCTGTAGTCAGGTGTGGCTATGGCTCCTCTCTCTCCATCACCCTCATATTCAATCCACTGGTTTTGGTTGAGACAGGGTCTCACTAAATTGCCCAGGCTGTCCTCACTTATGATCCTCCTGCCTCAGCCTCCTAAGTGCTGGGGTTACACAGTGGCACATGCCAGGCTTCATCTTACCCGACATCTCTCTGCAGCCCATCTGTCTCCCATCATGTCTTTACTCCACCTTCTTCAGACCTCACCTACCAGGATGACTTTTTTTTTTTTGGATACTGGGGATCAAACTTGGGTCCTTGCGCTTGCAAGGCAGGAGCCGGAACCACTGAGCTAAATCCCCAGCCCTACCAGGATGACTTGTATCGACCATGTCACTCACCTAAGAGGAACCTGTCACCTGCTTTCTATGGCCCTTGGCTTGGTAAAAGCCACTCCCTGGCCACAGGCTCAGCTTTCCAACCCATTTCATCCCTCAGCCCTGCCCCCCTTTTGGTGGTGCGGAGAATTGAACCTAGGGCCTTGTGCATGCTAGGCAAGCACTCTGCCACCAAGCTTCACCCTAGCTTTCATCAGCAGCGTCACCCATCTTCTTAGGTGGAACCCTCCACCCCTTCTCAGCGCTGCTAATGCCAACCCTGCTCTGGCTCCCTCCCTCCCTCAGTTCTGCTGCCTCCCTATGTGCGGTCAGGAGTCCAGAGGAAGCACTGGTGAGCTTAGATATCTGATGTTGTCCCAGCTGTGAACGCCACAGGGTCTGTCCTGCTTACTGCTCAACCTCAGCCCTATCATGCACCAGGTGTTCAGATATCTGCTGCAGAATAAGTGAATTAGCCCAGCAGTGTGCACGAGGCCCAGGAAGAAGGGGAAGGCTGCTGCCCTGGGCCTGGAACCGTGGTGGTTGGACATAGGCACACATCCAGTCTGAGCTCCCCGAGTTTCTGGTCCTGCTGGCTGGGACAGGAGGTTCAGTGCTGTCTCAGGGAAGCCAGTGCCCTCTCCTTCCGAGGCTCTGCTGCCCCTGGGCAACCTTCATTCCCATCTGTCCGCCCTAGGGGTGAGAAGGGGAGGTGCCTGGATACAGGGGCTGGAGCCCCAACCCCTGCAGCGTCCAGACAGGCCCAGGCGCAGTGCACTGACGACAGACCAGAGCTGCTCCATGAAGGGTGAAATGAGGAACCAGGCCCTTCTCCCTGGCTCTCCATGGCTGGCATCTTTGGAGACCAGTTCAAGACTGTCCCCAGTCTTGTCTGGTCAGCACCCCACCTTGGGTCCAGCCCTCATGTGCTGAAGTCATGAGTCACGCAGTAGAAGGGACAGCCAGAACCTGGGCGGTATCCTACGCCAGCCAGGCCCTGGTGGCATTGGGGAGGGCGGGCAGTGAGCACTCCCCACAGGTAGACACAGGACAGTCGCTCGTGCAGCTGACACAAAGCGGCGGCTACATCTCCTGGCCATGCTCCCCAGCCCCCAGACAGAGACAGGGGGAGACAAGATGGCATGGGCACGACTGGGCAGGACAGGCAGGCTTGGCGAGGAAGCGCCATGTCCTCATGGAGTGGTTTATTACGATTCCATCTCACAAGGTGGGCAGCGGTGGGTGGGTAGGTGGGCAGTGGCAGCGGCACATGAAATCAAGCCCCTGACAGACGTCTGCCTCGGGCACATGCAAACAGTGCAACATGGTCAAGCGCAAACACGGGGCGGCCGAGGCCACACGGCACACGGGACATGGGACACAGAATGGGGGCCAAGGCTGTGGTGATGGGTCCCTAGAGAAGGGCCGCTCCCCCACCCTCGGGGCTGGACAGGAAAAATAAGATTCGTACTTCTTGTAAAATGCCCATTGGCTGGGTACTTTCTTTCTCCTTGTCTTGAAAAATAATAAAAAATAAACACACAGAAAAAAATCTCAAAAAAGGAAAGGAATAAAACTCTAAGGAGGCGAGCAGTGGAGGCTGGGGAAGGCTGACCAAAGTGGGCCCTGCCTCCCGCCCCTTGCCTCCATCCGGCTCAGGCCCCTCGGCCCTGCCGGTGGGTCCATGAAAGCAGGTGTCAGGCCTAGGTGGGGCCCCAGGGCCGGAGGGGACAGTCGAGGACAGAGAGGTCCGCTGGCTCGCTGGGGCTCAGTCCGGGCTCAGCCCAGGGTGCGGTGGGGCACCAGGTCCCCGGCCTCTGGGTCCGTGCCCCCATGGTCACAGGTGCAGGTCGTGGGCCTTGATGTGCTCAAGTTGCTCTCGGAGCTGTAGGAAGGAGGGGCGCGCAGCCGCATCCAGATGCCAGCAATTCTTCATGACCTCGTAGACGGCAGGCAGGCAGCCGTCTGGGGCATCCATCTTGTAGCCCTTCTCCACCCGAGGGACGACGTCCTTCAGGGGCTGCAGCAGGGGTACCAGGAGTCAGCCAGGGCTCAAGGGGGACCCCAAGGGGGGCCCTTTGGCTCTGCCTCAGACCCAGCCAGGAAGTGGCCCAAGAGCTGGATGCCTTGCCAACCCTATGGTGCCAGCCATGTCCCAGCCCCAGCACCCACACTCACAATTCTTGGGTAAGGCACTCGCCCAAAGGAGTAGATTTCCCAGAGAAGGATCCCAAAACTCCACACGTCGGACTTGGTGGAGAATTTCTGCCATGTGGGTGGGAGAATGAGCATTAGATTGGAAATCCAGGGGTATTGGTTCCCCAGACCCTCGCCCACCGCTGTGTAACCCCAGGGAAGGCAAACCCCACCTTCTCTCGAAGGGCCTCAGGCGCCGTCCACTTGACAGGCAGCTT